TACAAAGAAAAAAAATGTTACGCTCCACATTTATGATCTTCATATTTTCGAATTAGACTCAGTGAAGTTGCTCTCGATCTAACGGTTATTTGTTTTGTCAAAATTTTTCGATTTTCAGAGAAAAAATAATGAAAAATATCAGCGAAGCACTCGAGTTCAAAAATTTATTTTCTATCGCAAATACATAATAGACAATAAGGCGATGGGTCCGAAAATTTCAAAATGAAGACAGTAATTGAAAAATTACTGCTTTCTTCAGTCATCGAGGTTTACTACTATGAATGAAAAAAGTGAAGTGCAGTTCTCTTCAGTTGTGCATTTTCAGTCACCCCTTATCATTGATATCTAGTGCCACGTGATCCAGGAATTTTATATAAGAGATGAATTTAACGCATGCATTCTGGACTTGTTGTATTTTTCCAGATGTTAAAGAATCAATACAGTGACCATTGATAATATCACAATGATTTAGTAAAGACAGAATCAAATAATCACACAATAAAGACAGTGTTTCTGCAAACCACAAGATTTTCGTTTTGTGTATTGACATGGTCAATAAATTTGAGATCAGTATCAATGTGGAGTCCAAGATACTCAATTCCATACGTGGACTGCAATGTGTGTTCCTCGATCCGAAGTTTTATATTGTCTATGGCCCTTAGCCGGTCTGTGGCCTTTCTAAAGATGATCATGGATTACTCATGAGTATCATGTTTCAGGCAGTGATTTTTAAAAATAACCCATAATATATTCTTGAGAAGAATGGTAATTCATCTCATCGAGAACCTGACTAGATGAAGTATAAATAATAAAGAGAAGTGAAGCAAGAAATGAACCTTGAGGAGCTCCATGGGAAACGCTCAGATCATAGGAAGTACAACCTTTCATTACAACTCGTTGAATTCTATCGCATAGGAATGATCTTATAAATTGACATATATAACTATAATAGATGAGTTTGATATACGTCAAGAAGTGGATCATAGTACCAAATTCCTTGATGAAGTCAACAGATAGAAATAGAGTTGTTTCTTCTCTATCCGTTGCTGAAAAATTGTTGTCGGTAATTCTTCCTGAAAACATATTTGATTATAAGTGGCTTTTTCAGAAATTTTGAAATTGCTGATAAATGTTTATGGGTCTTAGATCATTTAAATTTTTCAATTAACGGATCTTATGAATTGAAAAAATGAAGTACTTCCTCACCTTTTTGGTGGAGTACATGTTTGTTGACATTTGTCAACTATACAGGGTGTCAATTTGAAAACTTTCCACCCTTAATATCTTCCTTCTTGTGTATGGAAAATTAGGAAAATAGGTCAGTTTTACTTTCTGGGAGGAAATTTTCAATAAATATCTTCAACCTTCATAGTTCAACCTCCTGGTAGGGGTAGATGTTACCCTTAGAATATAAAATAGGAAGCGGGGTCAAGTGGTACACAATTTTGGGAGGTCTATTCTGTTTTCCCCGGTATCTCAGAGGATCATTTTTGAATGAGATGAATACTGTTGTGAACTTACAGAAATAATTAAAACTTGCATGCACTGCGACTAATGATTTTCAGGTTATTTTTCAAACAAATATTATTGCATTCACTCTCCTATTGATACAAATGGTTAGAAGAATAGGTGGCATCGTTTTATTTTCCTTTGTGCATAGTTCCAACCTTTCATTAATAGAAATGTTTCTTATGTACACGCGTGAGGAAAACACATTTCAACCATCTATTTGGGCATTATCCAATGAACTGTTCGATACGTTATTTATTCTGCTCTAAAAACTAATAGTATATTTTCGAACTGCTCTCGAACATTTCGAAAAATTCACCAAGAATTGAGAAGCATGGTGTTGAAATTCGTCCTTCGAGTTCATCAATATAAACAACGGATGCAAGATATGTCTGAAGAAAAAATCTAAGGGAGTTGAATCGGGTGATCTCGAAGGCCACTCAATTTCTCGCCTTCTACTATCTATCCGGAAATCGCTCGTTCAACCACAGTCGAACGGGACGAAAATTATGTAACAGATCCTCCTCCAAAAGCAAATTACCGTCTGCATCAATTTGATTTTCTAGCTCGTGAGTTATAAATGGATCGATAGTCTCTTCGAACTAGGTAAAACTACCATTCAAGTTTTCTTCAATAAATAAGGACCAATAATGTCATTTCAAACATCAACTTAATTTGGGTGTTGTGTATGTCATTCTCAAAAAATGTGAGGGTTTTTTTCACTCCAATAGCGAACATTTTTTCTATTAACATTGCCTTAAAAAAATGAGCATTTATAGCTGAAACAGATATTCAACAAAAGATCGGGGATGCCATTGATTCGATGAGTAATTGTTTCACAAAATCATAGTCATACTCATGAAGCTCGTGAATGATTCGTTTCTTATATGGATGAACTTTATGTATTTCAAGTTCTCATAGTCTCGTGTGACAGTTTTGTGACTGAAAAATGGGTTTAATTATGGGAAATCCATTAAGCCCCTTACTTGCAGAAATTTTCATGGATAATCTAGAGAAGTCGTTCTTTAAACATCCTTTGATTAAGAATTTGTTGTATTGGCATAGATATGCCAACATATTCAAATCATCTTCTAGGGGAAAATCATATCTTTGATGAAGAGTTCGAAGTTTTGCACATAGACAAAAAAGGTTTGAAGGTGAATCATTTGGAAGCAATGGAAATTAATAAACTCAAACATTCTAATGACTGACTCAATAGATGACCATTATTGAACTTGTTTTTTTAAAACCCGAGAAAGAATTATTATTGATGTAGATGTTAGGTAATATGCTTCAGGTAATCATAATTGAACAGGTACTTTAGGTAGAGGTTTAGATAAACTGAATTACATATTCACAACGAGTAAAGTTAGTACATAAATATTAATGTAAGAACAACTTGAAGTATGAATCACTCGAAAAAGCTGCTGTGCTAGCGAAACATGTGATATATTTTTCCAAATAAAGTTTATGAAGATCAAATCGTGTAGTTTTTGGAATTACTATGGATCTTCATCAAGTAACGGCCGAATCAGTCAGAAAAAAAAAGTATTCAAAGTGTCACCCTAGAAAATAAAACTGAGGTGTCTGTTCGATTTTTCATATTATGAACTGGATGGAAAATATCAAGGGGGAAAATTTTTCAAATTGGCACCCTGAATATTACAGAATGAGGGTGAGGGATCGTGATGAGAGATGTATAATTTTTATGAAGATTCTATCCGATTTGGTCAACTTTCATTCAATAGAATAATGAACAGATAATAATATGTAATCAAACTCAAATTTCTCAAAAAAAAACTAATATGAACACCTTTTTCAAATACCCCTTTTTGATTGCTTTCAACTTGAAAGGTATTCTGATAATATTCTTTCTATCAACATCTGTCATCACTACATAAAATATGTATTCAAATACTTCAACTTTTTAATAAAAATACACCCTCAATTCCATGGAGATAAGGGTAATATGACTTTCCTCTTGGTCTCTACTTCAAAGTAACTCAGTTTCTTAGATGCCTACAATCACTGTCACCAATATTCAGTCCGAATATGCATTTTGAAGATATTGAGATTTACATTCTTTATCCGATTGGGATATATCATTATCCTAATATTTATATTGGGTAGGAACATTACATTCTGATTTTCTCCTGAATCAATAATTTGGAACGTTTGCCACTAATATCACAACCATTCAAGTTGATATGTGGGGAGAACCAGTGAAAAACTGATTTCATTTGAGAATTATTTGAAAGAAGTCTCAACAAATATAATATTATTGATGAGCTTAATCCATGGATAAGTCTACGGAAGCAAAACTAAAATGGTGATAACATTCTTCTTTGTGTTTACAAAAACTGAGCAAATATATTTATTCATGTTCTATTCAAGGAAACCAAAGATAATACTCCTTCATACCATTATACAAACATGAAAATAATTATGTTGTTTCCTTTTGAAATAAACTCGAGTATTTTGTTTTCAGTTCTTGGATCTCTTGTTTTCTTTAGAACTTCTCATCTTGACTCCATTCAGTTCTTTGGATCGAGAAGTTGACACTTGTGTTGTTTGTTGATTGGAAGTAATAGCATAATTGAAAATAGGTTTCACAGATCCTTGGAATCCGAAATGAACGTAGGAATTGTATGTTAATACTCTGTCGATCTAGCTTGCTTTTCATCTCAGCTTTCGATGTACTCAAAAATTACATTATATAATTGTATAATCCAACCCCATTTTGATTATTGTGCTGATTTTTCATTCTCATTTAACCAAAATGAAGTATCGGCTTTACAAAAGTTACAGAATCGTGGAATAAGGATTATTTTACAAGTGAATAGGTATACCAGTATATCAAACATGTTAAGTATATTGCAGTGGCTGTCTGTTTCTCAGAGACTATACGAGTTAGCAATGATATTCATTTTCAAACTAAAACATAACTTGCTTCCAACTTATTTCGAGGAATTCTGTATATATTAATCTCAAATCCGTAACCACATAACAAGAGCAAGTAACTTCCAAAAATTCCACCTTCCTCGAACTAATTTGACTAGTACGATGAAGTCTTTATTTTATAAAGTTTTGAATGATGTCGGTTGTTGGAGAGAATAAAATTTTGGGAAATTAAAAATTTTATATAAAAAAAGTGTCACTATACGAGTTTATGTTAACAGTATTTAGTTCTTGAAATAGTCAATTTTTCAACTTTCGCGTGGTCATATGTTCAAAAATTGACCAGCACACCACAATTCGACTTCAGATTTTAGATCAGGCGACGGAAATACCAAGAACAAAACATTTTTATTGAAATTGAGCACAAGACGCATGACAGACTAATTACCCGCCAAGCATTTGTGTTATCCTGTTCTAAAATTTCTCTGAAAGCTTCAGTGGAATCAGATACCGCACATATTTCACACCGCTACCGTTTCAGGTGGTTTATTTCTCCTCGTTCTAATGAATTATATGTATATCATTGAACTTACGTGGGACTATATATGGGAACTCTTCTCTTATCCGTCTTATGGTATTTGGTATGCGAAGCGAAGGAAGAATTTTTAGATGGAAGGGAGACACTTCAAAAAATATCACTGACTTCAAGAAATACCGAGTTCCTAAACCGTGGGTCATTTCGTATACATAAGCGAATGACAGATACAACCGAATGACCAGATACCAACTGACAATTCAATAATCTTTCATTTATTTGGTTGCTAGGCAACATCTTTCAGAAACTATAATTCATAACCCAAGATGCATAAAAACCATGGTATCTTCACCGATTCGCTCATTTTTCGTCAAATGCTCTTGACACGAATCGAATTCTGCAAAACTGATTGAGATTACTACCGCTGATTATGGTAGACGGTAATTGCTGTATAAAGCTGCTGGAAATTGAAATAGTATGTTGAAACTAACTTTGAAAATCGTAAAAAAACTAGAAAAAAATAAAATAGCCGTTAGGAAGTACGAAGGTACATTTATAATAAAACAACCCAAAAGAGTTTAACAGAGTTATAAAAGGATACCAAAATAATGATTCATTGTACTAATTCTAGATGGTAACCGAAAGAAGTAATAATAAGGTTAGACATAGGTCATATAAAGTTAGGTTAGATAATGGATCAGTTATAGAAAGAAACAAAAGGTTTCTAGCAATCATTCCAGAAGACTAAACAAATGGTAATTCTGTAGTGCATTTCATTATTTCGGACTTCCATTGTTTAATATGATGTTTGTTTGAAGGTGATTTACAATGTTTCATGATGAATTTCACTAGTTCGGACTTCCATTGTCTATTATATAAAATTATTTGAAATCCCTGGTTCCGTTTGGCGGAAGTTGGCCATTTTTCGCTTGATGATGGGTTTCCATATATTACGTATTTCTACGCTGGCTTGGCTGAATACGTTGTTGGACAACATGTATGCGACTTCCTTGAATTTTTTTCTTAACCAATGTTCCTCTCTATGCAAGATCTCAGCTTGGGACCACTCGATGTTGTGTTGATGGGTCCAAACATAGTCTGCTATTTCTGATTTACTGGTCTCACGCTGAACTAGACGCCGTCCTGAAACACATCAACAGCGTGAGACCTTCCATCACATCCACAATGGAGAAGGTAATCCAAAACGAATTGCCATTCTCAGAGGTTTTGGTGAAGAGTGCCGACACTAAGTGGGAAACATCTGTAAACCGAAAACCCACTCATACGGGACAGTATCTGAACCACAAATCCAACCACCATCAATCGACTGAAAGAGGAATCATCAAGACTCTATTAGACCGTGTTTTTGGGCTCTGTCATACGAATGAAGGTCTCGAGAAAGAGCTAGACATCATCAAAAATGATCTTCAACGGAATGGCTACTTCAAAGCGATGGTAGAAAAGACTGTGGCTAAAAGACAGCAGGAGCCTCGCAAGGAAGAGAAGCCGTCACAACCAGTGCTTGCACTTCCCTACATAAGAGGATTATCGGAGAAGATAAGAAGAGTTGGTTCCAAGTACAACATCAGAACCTGCTTCTGATCCGGTAACACTATCCGTAGCAGAATCACCCCAGGCCACCAAACGCGGACTACGATTCCAAGAATTGCATTTACCGGATACCCTGTGAGTGCGGAAAATCCTATATTGGTGGAACTAAGAGGCCATAAAATTAAAAAAGATTAGCTGAAAAATAACAATTATATTGTGCAAAAAAAAGGAAAAAAACTGGAATTATAATTAAATGAAATACAAGCAACGACCAGAAAAATAAGAAAAATTGTACTATTAATACGAGATGAAAATTAAAAAATTATTCACAATATATGAAAATTAAAAATTAAAATATTCCAAACCAAGTTACTTCACGACGTTTCGGTTGTTAGTATCCACAATCGTCTTCGGGTGATAACTGGACTTATTTCTTCGAAATCTGACTATTTTCAGATCATTCTCTCTTTCCTCACTCCACATCATTGGTTTTAGCGGAAGCTGATCGTTTGGCGAGAGTTGGTCGTGTACCGCTTGATTAGAAGTTTCCATATGTTGCGTATCTCTACGCTTGCTTGGCTAAATGCGTTGTTGGACAACATATATGCGGCTTCTTTAAATTTTCTCCTAAACCAGTGTTTTTCCTTGTGAATGATTTCAGCTTGAGCCCACTTGATGTTATGTTGATAGTCCAAACGTACTCTACTATTCCTGATTTGCTAGTTCCTTCTCGCTATGAGTGTTTCTTATACTCGGGAATGCGAACTTTCAATGGCCTCTTAGTTTCACCGATGTATGATCCTCCGCACTCGCAGGGTATCCGGAAAATGCAATTCTTGGAATCGCAGTCCACGTTTGGTGGCCTGGTTTTTGTGAGGCTGCTACGGGTAGTGTTCCCAGATCTGAAGCAGGTTCTGATGTTATACTTGGACCTAACTCTTCTTATCCTTTCCGACAATCCTCTGATGTAGGGAAGTACGAGTACTGGTTGTGGCGGCTTCTCTTCCTTGTGGAGCTCTTGCTGTTTTCTAGCTAAAGCCTGTTCCGTCATCACTTTGGAGTGACCATTCCGTTGAAGGTCATTTCTGATGATGCCTAGTTCCTTTTCGAAATCTACCTTTGTATTACAGAGCCCGAAAGCACGGTCTAGTAGAGTCTTGATGATTCCTCTCTTAGTCGATTGATGGTGGTTGGATTCCTGGAAACATTGTCAACTACTTTCAAAGGAACGATAATTCTGTAGTTGAAAAACCGAAAGTTTCAAATGGTAGCAATGAGGTTATATTTGTGAAATATCAGAGTAGTACAGAAAGAATACTGAAACCAGTTGATATAAAGTTTATGATGTATTCAAAGGAAGGTTTTTAGTATTTTGTGTAAGGCAAAAGTAAAATCATTTCAGTTTAGTTTTAACTTCACAATATTATATGTTAATTTGTTGTGAATTATTTTCGGTGTATAATTTTGACCAAGCGGAATATATATTATTTGAAATGAAGGTTCTTTAAATGTTCAAGAAGAGGTAAAGTAAATCAGTATTGGCTATCGGTTCATTCACAATTATCATAATGTAATCTGGCTGACGAGATACTTTATATAAGTGATACTCGATAGAAATCATCATTTAAAACCATTTATTTCACATATGGAGTCTGGCAATCAGAATGGTTTTTCGTTTGAGATATAGAAAATGTTTCTGTAGTTTCCTTTGCAAATCATAAAATGTTCAACCCCATCATCTCATACATTTGTGAAATATCATTTCTAATTCATAAAAAAAGATTTTTTGTTACATCAAAAAAATATTTCCGCATATCCAACCCGGAATCAACCTTTCATCCTATCCACTTGCAAGTACAACAATACAAGTGAAGTATAATGATAATAACTCGTCTTTTATTGATGATAGTCAACATATAGTAAATAAATAAATAATGAGACTGATGGCGAAGTTTACCTGTCGCTATAGTAAATAAAATCGTTAAGTTATGGTTGACTGCTTCATTATCAGAGAGATAACATAGATATGAAAGATTTTATAATTTGGCGCATGAAATTGTTTCGGTAATTAAGGTTGCATACTTATGAGAAGAGTCTGAAAAAGAAATACATACAATACATACAATGTGTAGAGTGGTTGAAGAGTTCGTCCTGTTGAGTTTCACTGTTAGGAAAGTGGAAATTTCTTTATTTCATATTTGAATTTATTAGTATAGACTTTGAAGTCTTCTAGGAGCAGCTGAACTGTTTAATCAAAAATAATTCGCAGGTAAGTAGGAAAATAATTACTCAATGCATCAGAATTGGCCGAATTGTCAGGAATTACAGTTTTTCGAGAAGTACAAACACTCAATTTCCTAAGTGTTCTCCAAGAAGTTCTTTAATCACTGTTTTCAAAAACATTTCTCATTTCTGGTTACTGAAAATGTATAATTTCTGATTTTTTTATATTCTATAAATTCAGATTCATATTTTTTTAAACTTTAGAACGCCCTATATCGCTCTTTTTTTTAATTTTCAAATTGTCTGTTAGCCAAGGTGCTGGGTCATCACTTGGGTAGTCACTGAACTTGAAAAGAGCCTTAAAATACCTTACACATTTCACAATCTGAATTCAAATAAAATATCTGCATGTGTAGGTACTTGCTTAACAATTTTAAAATACACTCCCTCGAAAGATCCAATACAAACCTAACCTAACCTAACCTCTTAGAACTGGCGTTTGGACTACTCTACTGTTAAAATTGTGGTAATTACAGTATGGGGCATTAAGTGGAGACCAAATTTCAAGAAGTTCCTTAAATATCAAAATCACTTGTTCGTGTTTCTTATTGGAGTTTCACTACTGCTGAGAAGAATTGCCTGAGTGAGCAAAGAAACCTTCAAATTTCTCCAAAGGTGATTCGAGAAAAAGTGTATGTATATACTTCAGTGATATTTTGTGTGAATTGGGAAATATGAAGATTTCATGAATGCGAAATCAACAAATCGGTACTGAGGTATCCATCGAACTAAAATTCATGGAACTCAAAGTTTTACATTGTTGCACACAAACCTGAATTCATAAAGATTCAGGAGTGTTTGCCTAGGTGGAAGATGAGAGGGTGAGTCATCATAATTATGAATAATTATGTGCTGTTATAACGGAATTCTTAGATAAACAAACTGAATGTTTATTGTCTAGCTCATTTGAATTCAGAATTTTGAACTTGAAATGACAAAAAAGACCTCTGAAAGGCAAATCAGCACGAGGATAAACGGATTACAAGCCGCGAAAGAATGAAAAGAGATCTCTAATTCATGCAATCCAACCACTTCAACCCATAAAAATGAGGAGTCCCTAACTGAATTACTTTCAACAAGGGACATTTCTGTTCACTTTAAGGCACTCAACTTTTATTTGACTCAAGAGCACGTATAATCAGTTTTCCGTTTTTTTATGACAATCGCTAGTAAAAGGATCCAGTCAAGTGTCTTTATTCCATTACTTTCACTGATAATTTTTTAGAATAACATCACCTCACTTTTGAAAAGAGGATAACGAAACCAATTAAAAACAGGACATTCCTCAATATCGCATATTCAAGCAAATCAAGAATATTAGAAAATCTGCTGAGCAAATTACTTGATTGTACAGGTGATTCAAAAGCATTTTGACAAACCTCAGGAGGTGATTCCTCACAATATTCTAATATGAATTGTTCAAATACATAAATGTC